TTTTTTTTTTTTTTTTTTTTTTTTTTTTTTTTTTTTTTTTTTTTTTTTTTTTAGAAACAAACACGTCCTAGAATTTTTCGCGGAACCGATTGAACCGCGTGGTGGACGAAGCGTACATATCCCGTGGGCGAGTACCGGGATTCATGAATACTGAAGTATTTGCCAAGCGCGTACCGATATGCGGAAGCGTCGCGTGGACAATTCTGCACCCTTGCGCGCGCTTGTACCCTCGTTTTGCCATCAAAACGCACGTAGCTGCGGGTATACACAGAGTGTACCAAAAATCATTCACTTTATAAAACAATTAAAAAAAAAAAAAAAACACCGTTAAAACCAATCAATTCTTGACAATAATAATTCATAAACTTTAATTTTAATGTTTCTGAAATATATGCATTTGCTTAAGATTTTCTAAAAGGCTAAATAATTCATGTGACGACGGCGCAGAGTTACTTCGTACAACAAAATCGCTGAAACTCGAAAGATTTTAATCTTTAGCTCGAATCTCTAAACCTGCTCGTCGGCACCGAGGCAATCGCCATTCTTCTAAGATTGAATTCTGACGAATGCGCTTCGTAACAACCGCGCGCGACTGTCTCCGATACACCCTGTATACCTCGTGCGCTCGGTACGCGTCGTGAATGTAGCCGGCAAAGTCCCCGCGGGCTTAATACGGTATGCACGTCTGTCGTTCGCAAGCTCGACCCTATGCGGGCTCGAATCCGCTACCAGCTAATATTCCACGAGAGAGGGCCCTGAGCTACGTGCTCGGACTCGGAAAACTCGACGGCAGACCCGGCGAGAGGCTCGCTCCTGATACCGAGCAGTCGATTCTGCTGCTACGTTAGATCGGACAAAAGCGCGGGTAATTGCGTCGTCCGTTCGCTGTTGAGCTGCGATAGGCTCATCGACGCTTAAGCCGAACGCGATATTGTAAATACGAAAGACGGGATAAGTCCATCCGCTTGTGGTGAGCACTTGGAGTTAACCGTCTTTCGGAGTTGAGGAAGTCGTGGTTTATCGCCGCATTTGCATCGTCTTTGCCGCGAGTGATCAGTAAGTTTAATTAATATAATACGATCTTCCAAACTACTCTAAGTTTCTTAGTAAAAAAGATTTTTTTTATTGAAAACTGTTTTATTTTGCTAACGCTTAGATTGCTAATAATTGCACGTCGTGATATTTTTGTTCATGAATAATATTATGTAAATAAAGCGAAAGATAAAGTTACATCCAAATAGCATATTTTTCGAGAAAATGTAAAGATTATATGTAAATAATGTAGTAAAAAAATTAACAAAAATTTGTCGCATTTCATAGATAAAATATTTCGCAAAAAAACCGCGAAGAAGAGAAAGGAGGTGTGCATGTTTAGAGTTATAG